AAGTGGACCAGGGGATGACAATTTGGAGACTTTGAGTCTCTGTATTATGCAGTATGTCATTCTTCTTGAAATTTAAACATGTGACATTCAACCGTCTTCTATAAACATATGCCTCACACATAACGATTAAAAGGGACCTGTCACTGCTCATAATTTTTAATATTATATTTTCTTATCCTTATATTTTACTTATCCTATTCAGCAAGCTGAAGTGTTCTATGGGTGTGGAGTGCTCCTTTAACCCCTTCCTGTCCAAGGACATATCAGGTATGTGACGGACCGCTTGGCACCCCGAACGGGTGCCTCCATCAATCGATGCTCCTAGTGCTCAGAGAGGACTCCAAGCACTCCACCAGACACCATAAGCACTGTATACCCCACGAACCGCCACAGCTGGGTTGGGGTCTCGCCGTCCTCCACCCACCCTGGACCCAAGACCAGGATCCAGCTTCCAGTGGGTGAACCTCTTCTACTCCAGAGAGTATAGCAGGAACAGCTCTTATAAGAGCTAGTGGTTAGTACCCAGGGGAGTATAATGAGTATAGCAATCCACAGAGTAAACACAGCTGTCCCCTCCACACATGAGATGAGGCTCTATGTTGAGGGTTAAGAGTAATAATATCCCCACAAATGTTACATCCCCTGATAGCCCTGATCTGGATGACCAACATATCCAAAAATCACCCAAATCACCCAAATCAGTTAAGGGGTTCAGGAATTCTATGGAAGTCATTTATTTGACTGACTGCATGCATTGTTCCATGCCCAAAACAGTTCCAGAGAATCAGAGCTTGTGGTCGGTCTAGTCAATAGTCTTACCCTGGAGCTCAAGACAAATGATTTCACCAAACAGTGCCCTTCTAAATTCTATAGAACTGAATGCAGACGATGATGGAAGTCGAGCGTTCATGCGAACAAGATGGCCTCCACCTTGTGGTTGTCTATAGGAATTGCGGCCACCCAGAGGAACAATTAGAACACTGTTGTGAGAAACATTCCAAGTTGTTAATAGGTGTTAACAAGCTCCAGCGTGGTCTCTGGTTCGTGCGGTTGTTCGGGAGTTCGAAGTGCTGCTTCAAAACACTTTGGCTATATAAGTCCAAAAGGCACAAGCAGGATCTTTAACCAAAGTCTATTACAGGGACCATAGTCACAGGGCACTTCATTGTTAACTATTTCTGCTGGTAACGCATTGCTTAGTGTGTCGTAGGAGGATTTTTATGATACAAGGGTGCCACCTACTGAGCACATGTGTATTTATTAATTAATTTATTTATTTATATTACGCATACTGCTACAAGCACTCTGAGTTTTTGTATTTTCATATGTGCATTTCACGATTTTATCCATTTTGTAGTGGTTCTTATTGCCTATATATCCTTATATTTTGATTGCTATTTTTTACCAGAGTATATTTTAGAGCTGTAATTCTATGCTCCAACTTTGTCATTATTTTATGCTTACTAGTTTTATCACCTGGTAAGAGATCTTCTAGTATGTGTAGGTTTCTTCAACTACTATTATTTATTTCTGGTTGGTAATGGTTTTCCCTCCAGGACCTCCCCTAGCACAGGGTTGGGCAGGGGGAGGAAGAACATAGAAGTGGGGTGGTATAACATATATACAGGTGGGTGTTGGTATGGAGCGTTCGTGTCAGCATTGTGGGCCATCATCTACCTGATAAGGGGTATCACTATTGGCATGAGCCGTATCTGTTAGAGGGGTGGGTTGTGTTGTGGGGTTCTCTTTTTCTTCGGCCCTCTCTGGTATCCAGGTCCAATGTGCAGACAACCATGTGGTATATCTGTACTTTTTATAAGTCCTTGTTTCATCTTTGTGGGGCACACTGCTACTTAAGTAACCATGCGTCCCCTAACTCATTATAGCTTTACTTAGCACTCGCTACCTGATTTTTCATTGTTAGCCAGTATGTTTCCCATATTTGTCCAGCCTCGGCTGTTGCCCCTCTTTTCCTAATATGCTGGTCGCCCATTAGCTCGTAGTCCCAGTTTGTTTGGATTTGTCATATCAACATGTTCTTAGTGGGGGCGTCTTGTGTTTTCCATGCCCTGGCTATAAGGGTGCATGCAGCTATCAATGTGTGGAATAGAAGTTTGGTGTGGACTTTCGTTAGGTTCTCAGACCATATGTACAGGAGGCACACCGCGGGTGTTAACTCTAGGTGCGTAGGCAGTAAGTGGGTGAGAATTCCGCTCACAATGGACCAGTATGGGTGGATAAGTTTGCATGTTCACCATATCTGGTATAGCGAGCCTATTTCAGACATGCATCGCCAGCATTGAGTGGAGGTGCCGGAGAATATATGTGCTAGTCTCATTGGGACCAGGTACCATCTGTATTGTAATTTTCATATTTGCTCAAAGTGTGTGATGCATGCTGTGGTCCCTTTATGAATTGTGAATGAACGGTTGGTCTGTGGTAAAGGTGCAGCCTAGGCCATCGTGCCACGCTTGTATGAATTTGTCAGTGGAGGCTGATGTGCTCTCCAGCAATGTCGCAAATATCATCGAAAAATAGTTTTTTGTGTGGTGTTCCTTTGAGACACCAGGTGTCAAATCTGGAGAGTGTGGGCGCTCGAAGGCGGCTCGTAGTTGACTGCAGGAGGGATTTGAGCTGTAAGTATGAGAAAGTGCCCTGTCTGTGAGGTCAAACTGTGTCTGGGAATTGTTTCAGAGTGGTCCCTGTGTATAAATGGTGTACGTGTGTGCATCCTGCTTGAGTCCAAGTGTTATAGTCAAATGTTTGGTTTCTCAAGTGTATACTGTACATTGGCGCGACGAGCGATATTGCCAAAGGGCCACTTAAATGTTGACGGTATGTATCCCACGTGTCCAGCCACAGCGTGGTGTGTGGTGTCGCAGGTCTCTGTTGTTTCGGCACCCAGAATAGATGGTGTAGTCTGGCCTTGCATGACCAGTGGGATTCGATGGCTACCCATTGTGGTGTTGTGGTTGTTGTATGTGTGGTTGCCACTGTGGAAATGAGTGTGGCTTTGTAATACAATTTTATGTCTGGGAAGTTAATCCCCCCCTTCGTAATGGGTTTCTTGAGTGTATTTATTGCTACTCTGGGTTTTTTATTTGCCCATACAAATCGTGAGATGGTTTTTTGTAAGTCCATCAAATATTGCTTGGGGGTGGGAATTTGGAGTGTACGTAGCAAATATTGTATTTTTGGGAGTAGTGACATTTTAAAGGCCGCTACACGCCCGTGCCAGGACAGAGAATCACTGCCCCACGATTGGAGCGTTTGCGTTATCTCTTGTGATAGCTTCTCGTAATTATATTTGTGCAGTAGGTGTGTCGTTGTTATGCTTTCTATGGATTTGGAGTGGAACTCAACTGCAGAAATAAAGTTAGGAAAACCTTTAAATAATAAGGAAATAGAGATTAGTTCTTCAATAAGGTTTTATTTAGAAGTGATTGTTGGAACAATTCCTGTTATTTGAAGAATACAATATGAATATAATTTGATGAGATGAATTCAATAAGAACGGTTCCTGTAGTCTTAAGGAACATGATATGTAGAAAGTTTGAAGAGTAGAGTTCCTGTAGCTTTAAGGGAACAATATGATGATAGTTTGAGAAGAAGAGTTCCTGTAGCTTTAAGGGAACAATATGATGATAGTTTGAGAAGAAGAGTTCCTGTAGCTTTAAGGAATACAATATAGATATAGTTAGATGAGAAGAGTTCCTGTAGCTTTAGGGACAAGACATGCAGATAAAGTGATATGATGAGTTCCTGTAGCTTTAAGGAATACAATATGAAGATAGTAGATGAGATGAGTTCCTGTAGCTTTAAGGAATGAAGACAGTTTGACGAAATACGATCCTGCAGCTTAAGGAAGGAAGATAGTTTGATGAGATGAGTTCCTGCAGCTTTAAGGAATACAATATGAAGGTAGTAGGTGAGATGAGTTCCTGTAGCTTTAAGGAATGAAGAAAGTTTGACTAAGTAAGTTCCTGCAGCTTTAGGAATGTATATAGTTTGATGTATGGAATATAATGATAGCTTTCTGATGAATAGAACTCAGGAGGTACGAAGAGAAATAGAGGTGTCAGTAGTAAGGAATTAATCCAATTTATAACTTGCCGTTACTTGGAGGCTTTACAAAGCTGGAAGGTTCCAAAGGTAATCCAAAGTCAAAAGGTAATCCAAAGTCAAAGTCCTGGTTCGGTACACGTGTAATTAGTATAACGAGAGATTGCTTGTAGCCGGTCTGAAGATAGGAAGCTTCAAAATAACCAAGCACTTTGAATCCGGCGCGGTTCCTCTAAGAAGCGTGAGGAAGACGCGTCAGAGAAGGGGGTGTGTTATTGAAGCGTGAACCCGGAAGTGTTGGATATCGGAGAAGCTGATAGTTAAGTTCTGACAGTCGTCCTGGTTAGTTTGATCCCTAAAATGGTTATGTAGTCAGTAAAGGATGCCTGCAGGGTCTGTAAAAGGTGTCCAAGGAGGTCAAGTCCCACCGCCTGTCTTTTCGTTAAATTGAGCTTGTAGAAGGAGACCGTGTTATAGTCTTGTATGCACTGAAGTAAGTTAGGTAGTGAGATTTGTGGCTGCTTCAAAGTCAGTAGTATGTCATCTGCTAAGAGGTTTAGGGTGTATATTTTGTCGCCCACACGTACTCCATGGACGAGTGGTTTGCCCGGATCACAGATGCTAGGGATTCTAGTGCCAACACATAAAGTAGGGGCGAGAGGGGGCAGCCCTGCCTGGTCCCATTGGTGATTTTGAGTTTGTCAGACACAAATCCAGAGTTCAAAACCTGCGCCATTGGCAGTGAGTATAGGGCCCTGACCGCTGAGATGAAGCCCCCAGGGAGCCCTAACTTGTGCAGGACTGCCTCCAGGAACCCCCACCCCAGTTGATCAAAGGCCTTTTCCGCATCTAGGGATAGCAACAGCTTTGAGGCTATGCATTAAGCTAAGGACTTTGCTAGTGTTGTCCGCCCCCTATCATCCTGTCACAAACCCCACCTGATCGTCATGTATAATGTGAGGGAGTATAGGTCCGAGTCTCAATGCGTAGAGTTTGGCTACGAGTTTGGCGTCCGTGCTAAGGAGCGAGATTGGTCTGAAGTTTTGCGGGCACCACGGTGGTTTGTCTGGTTTGGGAAGAGTGATGATGTGTGCCAATTGCATTTCCTCAAGGAGTGACTCCGCTTGTAGGGCTTCATTAAAGACTTCAGCCAGGCGAGATGCTAATACTTTGCGGAATTTGCTATAATATGAGTTGGCAAAGCCATCTGGTCCTGGGGCTTTGCCTTTCTGCAGGGTTTTTATCGTGTTGCTAACCTCTTCCGGGGTGATGGGCTGGGCTAGTGCGTCCTGCTGTTGGGCTGTCAGGGTGGGCAATGTAATTTTGTCTAGATATG